AGCAAGGGCTGCAGCCAGAAAGCACTGCAAGCCGTTCCTTGCCAGAGAAACCAGATCTCCTGCTGGCTGCAGCCTCCCCTGCTCCGCCTGGGGAAGGAAAGCAAGTGCATGGCTTGCCCAGGTCTCCAGACCGCAGCCAGGCGTGCAGCAGGGCAAAGGCACCCCAGAGCAGAGCAGGCACACGGGGAGAGGTTGAGACCGGCTGGCACACAGGGGGCTCATGCCCTCGGTGGCCTCAGCCTGGTCGGCTCCTGTCGGTGCAATGATGTCCACCGGTGCTCAAGACACACGGTCCAGCACAGCCTGAACCAGGGCCCCCCCCTCCCCCCAGATGACAAGGGTCACCCTGGGCCCCAGCAGCCCTCAGCACAGGGGGAACGGCTCCCTCAGGGCCAGGAGCTGAGGAAGACGTGTGAGCTCCAGGGCAGCTGCAGGCTCCACGAGCTCAGAGCGCAGCCCAGGCCCTCACTGCAGGCGAGGAAGCCTCTCTCGGGCAGCACAGCAGAGACATAGTACTTCACATACTTCTGCACGGCCCCCCATCCAGGACTCAAACCCAAATGACAACAGTAAAAAACTCAGTTTATTTCCTTATAAAGGCAGAGCTTTCCTTTAAAAACCAGCTCATTTCACTCGTGAGAGGGTGTGGGGCTGAACTGCAGGGGCAAGGCCTTCCTCGCTCACTCCTCCAGGCCAAGAGCTATTGCTTCCTGAGGGTCACACGTGCCAAGCAAGTGCTCCACCATATCCAGAGTTCCAGTCCTCCACCATCTCCAGGAGGCTGCTCAGCCTCAGCTGGTCCCCAACTGCCACCACGAGGAGCAAGGCGGGAGAAACAAGCGAGGCAGGTGAGATGCAGCGCAGTCCAAGGCATGCTGGCTGCATCCTGCAGGCTCAGAGCACTCGGGGTGGCTCTGCATGCACTGGGAGTGGGCAGAGCGAGGAGCACCGCTCCACTGGCCCGAGCTGGGAGCAGGGAGCAGCTGCAGGTTGAGGCGGTTCATGCAGGCGGAGAGCAGGACAAGGAGCGGGTGTCGCAGTCTGTGCACTGCATGGCGGCAGGGCCAGCAGACCCCGTGCCTGGAGGGCAGTGCCAGGGGCAGGGGCAGACACTGTCTGGCCCAGGGGCAGGCACAGGGTGAATCCTGAGTGGCTGGTCCGTTGTTGCAGAGATTTGGCTTAGCCCAGGGGAGTCTTGGGGCCAGCAGTCCTGGGGCCAGCTGTGGGGAGGTCTCCAACCTCTCCCAGCCCCTGCCAGTTGTCTGGGGGTTGCCCCAGGCGGCAGCAC